AATTCAGTCTTTAGTTTAATGATACTTACACTAAGGTGTATGAAATGCAGATCTACTTATGGTGACAACCTTTCAATATTTTATCTCACTTTACTGAAGAGAACCTGTTTGTATTAATTTATAACATTTAATACTTGTGACTAATAAATCCACATTTCCAAACAAAATAAAATTCAGCAACTCTCCTCCTATTGCACAAAGAGGTTCTCCATATAACTGACTTAGTAATGGGTAAAGCTTCTGTATCTTTGCAGAATTATTTTCACACTACCTTTACAGATTACTGTGGGACATACACTTGAACCATCTTCCCAGTCACTGGAATAGATCCAAAGCGAAACATTTTATTGCAAGATTTTAAAGCAGCCCTGGCCAGGGGAGAAAATAATATCCATATAAAGCTAGCAAATACAGCAATAAAATAGCATATCTACAAGGAGAAAGGGAGCAGGAAAAGGAGGAGAGAGGAAAGTAAGGGAAGGTGGGAAAGACGTGAACAGCAGGAGGAACAGCTCTGGCTCAGAAGAAGGAAAAACTGCTCTCAAGGAGCTGAGCGTGAAGAACAGCACAGCACAGCCCAGCCCCTTGGGAACCTCATTCTCTCCCCATCACACTTTCTAAGCGGAGGGCTGGAGAGGCAAGCCTGTGCTCACTGGCTAGGCACCCTGCAAGACACAGCAATGAGTTTAATTCGGTCTTTCCATTCAAGTAACTGACGCGACAGACAAGCTGAACAATAAAGATAACAAGGCAGAATGTAAGTGTTTCTCACTAAGGAAGCTGAAGAGGTGGTTTATTGCTTCATTTAGAATTAGGGCATAGAGTCATCAGTTCCGTGTGTGGGGGGAGGGGAGAAGTTGGAAGGTTGGTGAGTAAAAATGCAAAGTCTTCATTAGTTTAAAAATTAAATTGTGTTCTGGGGCGCCTGGGTGGCGCAGTCGGTTAAGCGTCCGACTTCAGCCAGGTCGCGATCTCGCGGTCCGCGAGTTCGAGCCCCGCGTCGGGCTCTGGGCTGATGGCTCAGAGCCTGGAGCCTGTTTCTGATTCTGTGTCTCCCTCTCTCTCTGCCCCTCCCCCATTCATGCTCTGTCTCTCTCTGTCCCAAAAATAAATAAATGTTGAAAAAAAAAATTAAAAAAAAAAATTAAATTGTGTTCTAAAAATCCAGATTAAAAGAATATATACATACATAAAACTTGTAAGTTGAAATGAATGTATGTCAAAGCCAAATAATTAAATACAAACTCCCTTTACTTACATGCCAAGATCTGAGCTCATAGCTCTGGATAAATAACAAGCTACAGTTCATTGACCTGTTTGGGTATTAATGAGCTCTTCGAATTTTTTTCAGCAATCACTTGGAAAATGGTAAGTAGAAAGTCGGTTCAACATTAACATTTCTTGCTAGTGTAAGTCTACATTTAAGGCATAATTTTGCAAATTAAAATGTCAGGTGTATTTATTTTGAGATTATCTAGAGACATTCAATTTTGAATTTCTTGGACATTTAATATCCTTTTGTGTCCCCATATAAAACATTTATCTGTGTCAAAAAGCCCAAAGCCACTTGTAGATATACTTTTTCTTTTGCTGGCTATGTTAAGAATATCTACCTGTGGGAACTATAATAATTCCCAGCAATTTACTGTCTGGCCAAAAGTATCACATTTGCACATGATTTATTGATGAATAACTTGTGCAAGCTTAAGTAGCACTTCATCAATACATGTTTTCCTTAGCTGTTCTGGGACAGAAACAGTGCATCCCTTTCTGGCCTAATATTATATAGACTTATCCTAAATAGTTGAAAAACTCAAGATAGTTATTCAATAGTCAGGCTATTATGAGAAACTCTCATTGCCATGTTCACTGGGAGCTTATTATTAAGGATGTCGTTCACTACCACACTCACTGTCTGCTCCATTAAGCCCTCAGAGAGAAAATTCTTTCTGCTCTTAGTACCAGGATCAGTTACACACATTGGCAACTGGGCCATTTTTACCTTATGATGGTAAGAGTATTTCCCTCACTGTATTAACTCACTGCATTTCCTCCCTTTTATTGGTTGCTAGAAAATGTGAAGCAAAAATTGAAGGGCCAGCTGTGCAAGTCAAGAAGATTCCATACCATATGTTGTCTACAGTAATAATATGTAATAGAAATCATTATTAATGCTAACAAGTATTGAGTACTTTCTGTTAAGCACTTTACATATGTTAGATTTCACTTAATATTCATAATAATACTAAAACATGAGAACATTTCTTTTGCCATCTTGACCGATGAGAAAACTGAAGTTTAGAGAGGTTAGCCAACTCCCTCAAGGCTACTGAGTTAGTAGAACACCGACTCCATTAAAGTCTTTCCAACATGGAAGACTGCTCTGTTAGTCTGCCTCCTGGTCCATCCATGCATCTTCCCTGTTGAGTCTTTATTTCCTTTGACTAAGGAAATATTTTTTTTTCGTTTTTTATTTATTTTTAGGACAGAGAGAGACACAGCATGAACGGGAGAGAGGGAGACACAGAATCGGAAACAGGCTCCAGGCTCTGAGCCATCAGCCCAGAGCCCGACGCGGGGCTCGAACTCACGGACCGCGAGATCGTGACCTGGCTGAAGTCGGACGCTTAACCGACTGCACCACCCAGGCGCCCCTAGGAAATAAAGTTAATAGAAAAGAATTCTTTGGAAAAACACCAGGGCTCTTCCAATCTCCTTCCAAAAAGGTATGTCCAAGCCACAATGTCCATCTGGCTCAAGCTACTTAAGTGTGGGGTGGCAAAGTTCTCTGATGCCATTTTTCCCCCAGAGTGACATGTGCTTTATGAAGACAGGAGAGATCATGGGAAGATCCATGGTTCAGTAAAGGATCAGGAAGGTCTCCTGAGTCTGGACGTTGGTGCTATGTGTGCTCAGTGGGGCCACTGTGTTGACTGCATGGTTTGTGTACAAAGACGCCTGCCAAGGGGTTGTGCACGACCATGGAGTTTGAACTCCAGCCTGTGCTCCAGATAGGGTTTCTAAATTTCCGACAGAGACATGAATATTCAAGATCAGAGAATAAGAAATCAGAATTCCCTCCCAATTCTGTGGAATTCTTAAAATAGTAAGCTATTCCATGTTTTTTCCCCAAATTTTACTTAAATGTTTTTAGGTATTAATGACGACCATAATGGTGAAGAATTTCCATAATAATAAACAGTAAGTCACTTTTTGTGATAGAGATACTAAAAATTTCAGAGGTTTTTCTGTTAAAAAAAATACCCAAACCAGGGGTGCCTGGGTGGCTCAGTCAATTAAGCGTCGACTCTTGGTTTCAGTTCAGGTTCGATCTCACGGTTTGTGAGATTGAGCCCCACATTGGGCTCTGTGCTTGGGATTCTCTCTCTCCCTCTTTTGCTGCCCCTCCCCCCTCTCAAAAATTAACTAAATAAACATTAAAAAAACAAAGTACATCTATTGCAGTAACATGTAAAAATGATCTCCACCTGATAGCTGATAACACTAAAAGAGGGAGACATTACCACAAATAAATGCCAAATGGAAGTCATTTTAAATATTGAAAGATGATATAAAAATATTTACTATTTATAAGATATTATTCTTAAATTAAGTTTTAAATCAAAGCATTAACTGTCTATTCCAATAGTCTTGATTTTTGTTTCATGACAAATACACCAGACACACACAAAAAATTCTTCATTTTGCAACGCATTTTGCATTGACATTGGTCAAATGCATCTTGCATTTTGCATTGACATTGGTCAAATTGTTAGGAGGTCTTCAAAAGCATAGCCAAGGTGGGCATTAAGGTTTGCTTCACAGAAGCTCATATCCTTTTTTAATGATGAAAATTTCATCTGCTTGCCCAGATTCCAGTTTGGCCATTGAAATCTATGTTGCAATGGAGAATTAGAATACTTTTTCCCAATTTCCCAATTTCTTGACTAAGTTTTCTTGGGATTCAGGATTCAGGAAAACATAGAAATTTTTTTTCTGAGAAATGCAGGGAATTGCAGCTGGGGCCATGCTAAGAAAAGGAGCATATTTTTCTTGCAAAAAGAACTTTTTCAGGTACAATCTTGTGTCCATGCAGAAGACTTTTGTCGAATTCACAAAAATGTTCACATAAACTATCTTACCTGTCAGCTTGGAAGGACCTCAAAGGCACCAGGAAAGTATCCTTAAGTACTTTGGGAGTCACATACACACCTTTACATATGCAAAGCCACTGGCAAATGCCCTTGGTTCATCTGATCAAAGACCTAGGAAGCTAGAGGAAACTAAGACCTAAGTAAAAATGTTATTTTCACAAGTGCTTCTGAACTACAGCTTTAGACATGGCCTACCTAGACATTATCAATATCAACGATCTATTAACATTCATCTGGGTTTTGGCAAATCATTTGTCTTGCCCTGCCCCCATCCAAGTCTTAAATACATTATATAGACCATTATTATGTAACATGTTTTCACATATGTTGAGAGTAATGGAAATGGACCAATACATATTTTAAGCAACTACAATGTACCAAACACTATGCTGCATCTTTCAAATATGTATTTCCAATGCTAAAGTTATCTTACAGGACAGGTATTAATTTTATTCCATGGGTTAAGAAAAATAAGGCTCAAAACTATAACCAAAAGCCACACTGCTAAGTGACACGGCCTAAAATTTATTTGTAGTACAACTTCAAAACTCCATGCTCTTGCCACCACACCATACCACAAATTGTAAAAGGATGGCAAGTCAATACCTGCTGGTTACTGTGGCCCAGGGGAGAGGGCTGGTACCAGGCAGCCTGGCTGCTCCGTGAGAAGTAACCTTACTATCCTCAGGGTAGTAAGACCTTCCCCTGTGCACACTTAAATAATAACAGGGATTTTTACTACCCTTATTTGAAAGAAACATACAATAAATGTGGAAGCAGAATATACCTTTTTGGGAAAGGAATTAAAATAATCATTGTAAACACAATACAAAAGGTCTGTCTTACCTTTAAATATTTCACCAGCTTCTGAATTTGCCAATATTCTGATGGCAAATCTGCATTTGCTTCCTGACGATCAAGTGGTTCTTCATCTTCCTCACTCTCTGAGGAGCTCTCACTAACGATTTCCTCAATCTTCTCAGTACTCTTACTAAGAACAATAACAACCACCACATAACATAAATATGTTTATGCTACAACATGGAATTGGTTATAATCGTTACTATTTCAGCAATACGAACTTAAGCAACGAGTTCTAGAAGACCTAACACCTTCTTAGTTCTTGATCTTTGTTAAGATCTAAGTGAGGAGATGAATAATTGCGTGCTATTTTAAGAAAATAGAAATGAACAGGAAATTAGTATATGTCCTATGGCTGTGCTGTACAAAAAGATAGCCACCAGTCATAGTATTTAAATAACTTGTGTTATTTATATGTTTATATTTATTTAAATGTCTTTATTGAATTGAAATAGAATACAATTAAAAATTTAGTTCTTCAGGGGCGCCTGGGTGACTCAGTTGGTTAAGCGTCCTTCAGCTCAGGTCCATTATCTCATGGTTTGTGAGTTCCAGCCCCACATCAGGCTCAGTGCTGACAGCTCAGAGCCTGGAGCCTGCTTTGGATTCTGTGTCTCCCTCTCTCTCTGCCCCTCCCCGGCTCATGCTCTGTCTCTCTCTCTCTCTCTCAAAAAATAAACGTTAAAAAAAGTTTAAAAAAAATTAGTTCTTCAGTTGTAGAAGCCACATTTCAAGCACTCAACAATCACATGTGGCTGGTGACTACTATACCAGGTAGCTCAGCTATAAACCATTTCTATTATCATGGGAAGTTTAATCGGGCAGTGCTGCAAACGCCTCACAGGGAGAGTGTCTCCCTTATGGAAGAAAGTACACTTTTTCCTCACTGCTCTAGAAGCTTCCAACTTAACATCAAGGTCATGGTCACCAGCTAGTTCACTCAAGCTTTCATGACCATATCTAATTCTCATTTTCTGTTTATCTCCATCCTCTCTTCCCTCCAACCCTCATGTGCTCTCTTCTATGAATGTCTTTTCTCACCTGTTTTGAAGCACAGTAGAAAGCACACTACTAGTAATTTCATAGTAGTAGTAACTTTCAAGTTTTATTAATTTTTAAGATTCTATAATTCTTTTAATTTCTCAAAGGTGTTGTGGTGCAGAGAGTTGTTCTCTGGGCCACAGTGGAATGAAATCCTGAACTGAAGCTTCTGTTCCAATTCAACAAGTCGCATGAGCTGAGTTTTAGTTTAATGTATTCTCTCGTCTAACAAATGTCCAGAAACCTAGGTTGGTTACAGAGCAAAATATGGTAGACAAGGCTGACTTAAGAACCAAGGTAAATTTAACTCAAAGGTCCCAGACATAAACATATACTAAATAAACCTATATTCTCTCAGGAATCTCTAAATGTTTTAGCTTAACAAACTCCTGGAGTTAAGAGCAGGTGATTTACCCAATCACTCTCAAATCATATCAAAAAAAAAAAATCAATACCCCAAAGGAAAGTTGTTCTTTTTTTCCAGTGATGAATCCTTTGACATATAACTTTATATGGCTTTCCCCATTTTATGAGATTCCCTTCCTGTTCTGTCCTGTCCCACAGCAGCTGTACATTCAGGAGGTAAAAAGAAGCAAACCTCAATGTTTCATTGAGCTATGAACTTGACCATAAGAAATACTTCTCTACCACATCATTGTACCCACTTAAGCAAGAAGAGATAGAGAAGTTCTCATTTTTATCGCTGACTAATGGTTGTTGCTTGGATACACTACCCCTTTACCCTTATCTATTACTCTGGAGTTCTCGGACTCACTAAAATTTGATTTAAAATTGAAATGCTTTAGGGCAAACATCAATTTCAGGAAAGATGAAGTAGATATACCTTTCCTTATTCCTCCCACTAAGTACATAAAAATCCTGGATATCATATGTAAAACAAACCTGAGAGAACTCTGTTTGCAGAATGGAGAAGAATGGAGAAGAATGGAGAAGAATGGAGAATGGAGAAGAAAGACTATCTAGGGACCTGGAGACCTGAGAAGCAACACAGTGAGGAGTTCCTTGGATTTCTTTTTGTCTCACATATCCCAGACAGGGTACTAGAGAAGACAGTGGTGTGGAAATACCAGTGGGCACAGAGGAGAAAAGCACCTAAGGAGGGGGCGCCTGGGTGGCTCAGTTGGTTACGCATCCGACTTCAGCTCAGGTCATGACTTCACAACACGTGGGTTCAAGCCCCGTGTCAGGCTCTGCTGTGACAGCTCAGAGCCTGGAGCCTGCTTCGGATTCTGTGTCTCCCTCTATCTCTGTCCATCCCCTGCTCATTCTCTCTCTGTCTCTCTCTCTCTCTCTCTCAGAAATAAATTTAAAAACAAGCACCTAAGGAAAGCCTGCTCTTTCTCATCAGAGGAACAGAAAAGGAATAGCTTAACAGAAAACTTTTAGGCAACAAATGATTTATTCTTGTCAACACCACAGAAAACACTGTGCCCTATCCCCACTTCTGCTAGCAATGGCCAAACAGAGAACTTTATCAGGCTACAGCAAAGCTTCCTAATCCCCAGGCTGGGTGGTGTTAGAGAAGGCCTAAAAGGGAGTCAGGACTTCCACTGATCCCAAACCCCAATGTCAATGTAATAAAAGGCCCGTGCCTTTCACAGACAAGCTGGTATCCATAGAGGCCTAGGCAGAGCTTGAACTTCCACTACCACTCATAAATAATGAGGATCCCCTCACCTGCACCAACACCCCCCCCCCCCCCCCCCCCGCCAGGTGTCAAGTGAGGGCCCGCCCACTTGAACCTTGCAATTCCTTTTCTAATCTGAGGAGGCACCACACACCTTATCCCGCCAATGTGGTATCAGAGGCCTGCTAAAACATAAGATTTAAATAAGACCCGGAAGAATTCAGAAGAATTAATCCAACAATTAAGACTCAGAAAATCTCAAAAATTATTACAGTTTAAAAATTACCCATTCTCTTACCATGCTTCAAAATGGAATAAATTAAAAAAGACTTTTATGGAACGGGGTGGAGGGGGGGGAGTTAGAGAGACTAAAGGGAGAGAAAGAAAACCAAGAAAATAAAAATCAAAAAGAACAAACAGAAAAAAATATACATAATGACAAACTTAAGCCCTAACATAAAAATGACATTAAAGGTAAATGATCTAAATATCCCTTAAAAGACAGAGTTTAACTTAATGGACAAAAAAGAAAAAAAAAGGGAACCAACCAAATGCCATCTACAAGGAACTAATTTCAAATATAATGATATGTTATAGTTAGTTTGAAAGAAAAGGAAGAAAAATACACCATGCAAACAATCAAAAGAAAGCAGAAATGGCTATATAATATCAGATTAAGTAGACATCAAAAAAGAAAAACAAAACAAAACAAAACAGAGCAAAACCGACCAGGGACACAGAGGAAATTACATAAAGATGGAGTCACAGTAATCCTAAATATGTATTTCCAAGCAACAGAACTGCAAAATACATAAAGCAAAAACAGAACTAAAAGGAGAAACAGAAAAATTGCAATTATAGTTGGAGACTTCAATACTTCCTCTCATCAATTTATGGAACTAGACTGAAAATAAGCTAGGATATAGAAGAAATCAACAACACCAAATAAACATTATTTATTCCACATTTATGGAACACTCCACCCAACAGCAGCAGGTTACACATTCTTTTAAGCATCCAAAGAACTTATACCAAGATAACTTGACCACACAGAACCTCAACAAATTTAAAAGCATTGAAATTATACAGAGTATGATCACTAACCACAGTGGAATCAAACTAAAACATCAGTAACAGAAACAGAACAGGAGAATCTCCCAAGTGCCTGGAAACAAAATAATGCTCTTGGCTCAAAGAAGAGTCTCAAAGGAAATTACAACAAAACAAAACAAACAAACAAACAAAACACAAAAAAACACATTGAACTGAATGAAAATGAAAATACAACATATCAAAAACTTTTGTGCACAGCTCAGAGCTAAAGCAGTGCAGAAAGCACTGCTTTATAGCGTTATAGCCCTATAAACTATATAGCACTAAATCCTTACATTGGTAAAGAGAAGTCTCAGTCAACAATATAAACTTGCATCTAAAGAAACTGGAGAAGGACCTGAGTGGTTCAGGTGGTTAAGTGTCCGACTCTTGGTTTGGCTCAGGCCATCATCTCATGGTTCATGAGTTCAAGTCCCATGTCAGGTTCTGCACTGACAGTGCGGAGCCTGCTCGGGATCTTCTCTCTCCCTCTCTCTCTCTGCTCCTCCCTCGTCAAGCCCCATCTTTCTTTCTCTCTCAAATAAATCAAACAAACAAAGAGGGTGGTGGGAGAATAGCTCATGTTAATAGACACATACCGAACTAACTGCGCTCTTCCGGGTTTAACAGGTGGCCCTGACCTTTCAGGTCTTCTTCTGTGTTTCTCCTCTTGGGGGTCTCTTAGTAGGCTTCTGTACCTAAAAACACATAAACTTTTCAAATTAATTTATGTGGATTAATTGGAAATTCAAAATAGAAATACATACAAATACTCCATCACTTTTATGCACCCAAGTTATGTTCTCCTAATACAGAAAACGGCTATGAGTTCCAGCCTCATCTGACACCTGAGACGTCCCTTCTGTCTCTCAGGCACAGCCATGTACTTTATGTAGTGGAGGAGCATGTGGTCCAATATGTCTTTCGTGAGGAACAGGTGCTAGGAACAGGCTGCCATCACTGTGGTGGCCCTGCCCTCTGTGCCTTCTACTAGCAGTGCCTACTGCCCTGGCTGAAAGCTGCCTCTTTTCTGATCTTCCACACCCAGCACTACAGCAGGGCCCGTATCGGTTTTCCAGGTATTCCCAGGTTGAGCACAGTCCTTGGCACATAGTGAGTTTTCACTAAATTGTTGTTAGGTAATTTCCTGATTGAAAAACGTAAGCACGTGGGCAACGCAGTTTTTTAAAAATTCACCTTCCAGGTAACAGAGCAGCCCATGTATTTGTCATTTTCAGACTCAAATAGTCACAAAGACCAAACACCTCAAAATTGAGAATTAGAGGAGCAAGAGTGTCTCCTCTTTCCACAGGACTCCTTCCCTCTGCTCTCTGGGTTTGTAGGCAAAATGCAATCACCCAGTGGTCCTCAGAATCCCTGCCCAATCAGGCGACATGAAACTTGTAAGCCTATTTGCTAATTTAAAAAGTGCTCTAGGCACTTCTGACTGCTCTGATAGTTACATAAGGCTGGTCCTTAATCCGGCACCTATTTATAGATGGCCCAAAATGGAACTAGTTTTGTATATTTCAGACATTCAACAAACCAGTGTCTACTTTACTTAGGCTTGTTAATATTTACTAGCCTTTCTATAGTATTTACTTAAAGTTCTGTTAATGACAAGACGTTATCTCTATCAAGATTTCCCTGATTAACTCCACATAATTTTAGTCATCCTAAATGCTCCTAGCACTTACTTAATCAGGTCCCTACAACTATGTTTACATTGCTCCTGAGATGTCTCCATGTGTTTTCTCATCTTTTTCATGCGCTATTTTCCCTGACTTACTGAGTGAATTGTGTTCTTCCCTTCCCTTCCCTTCCGGTGCCCACATGTAAACCCTATTCACATCAAATCCTTCTACTTGGTATATGAAGAGGAGTAGGGAGGGATCCACTTGCATTACGGAGGGAATGTAAATATCTACTCTAGTACTTTCCTGCTATGACATAAACTTATGTGAAAAACTAGGCAAATGTGGTTACTGAGGATGTATCAGAAAACCCATCACGCAAATTTCCACATACTCTTTGAAACGAACGGTAGCCTTCCAGCTTAAACTTGGCTCTAATCTCTTGGTCATTTGACTCTTCCCAAAATTAATTTGGTTCTTCTCCAGTGTTCTCTTGCCTGAACCAGTAATAGCTTTCTGAACGGGGGCTGCTTCTTCCTTCTCAGGTGGATCATTAGTTGGTTCTTTCTTTTCCTTTTTGTTGCTGAATCTCTTCTCCTTTATTTAAAAAAATAATAATTTTTATAATGATATCATTTCTGAATTATCTAGTGCTATCTGAAAATTAACACTGGTGGTAACTTCACTAAAGGAAGTCTCTGATGCATCTAACTTGTGTTGCTTAGTGGCACACATTGGATGAGGGCCACTTCAGGACTGAGGTCTCTAACAGAGCTAGGCTGATAGTAATGGATGTTCCTAAACTCACCCCCTGCTGTAGCACACACAGATCCAAAAGCTGCATTTGACCTACTCACTCCTCGCCACTGTCAGAAAAATGTAAACTCAAATGCTATAGTGACTGGGACACATCATGTACAAATTGCTGAAACTACAGATAAAGAGAATATCTTGCAGGGAGCCAGAGACAAAAGTCACATGACAGACAGAGGGAGAAACACAACAATTAAAAGAGACCTATCAGAAACAGTGCAAGCAAGAAGAAAAGAGAATGATACCTTTAAAGTCCAAAAAAAAAAAAAAAAAAAAAAAAAAAAAAAAAAAAAAAAAATCCAAGGAACTGCCAAATCAAAATTCTAAACAGAGAATTTAGGAGGGGGATTATGACTAATCCATGAAGTTGAAGATAGAACAACAGAAATTACCCAATCTGAATAACAAAGAGAAAATTGATTGGAAACAAAAATGAATAGAGCTTCAAGATCTGTGAGACCAAAACAAAAATTCCAAAATTCATGTCCTCAGAATAACAGAAAAAGAGGAGGAAGAGGGTCAGACTAAAAATGTATTCTAACATGATTTGAATTTTCCCTAAGTTAGAAAAAGACATAAATCTAAGATTCAAAAAGTTGAAAAAACGCTAAACAAACTCAAGAAAAACTCAAAGAAATCCATGCCAAGACACATAATAATCAAACTTCACAAACTAAAGACAAGGAAATTCTTAACAGCAGTTGAGAGAGAAACAATATTTTACTTATAAGAGAAAACAATTAAAATAATAACAGATTTCTCAAAAGCAACCAGGGAAGACAGAAGGAATTCAAACAACATTTTTTTAAGCACCGAAAGTAAAGAATTGTCAGCCTGATACTATATCCAGTGTAAATATTCTTTAGAAATGAAGGGGATGTCAAGAAGTTCTTGGGTGAAAGAAACACGACAAAATTTGTGGATGAAGGAAAAACAAAGAGAATCTGTCATCAACAAATTTACCTTAAAAGGGTAATAAGTTTTTAAACAGAAAGACTGTGATAAAAGAAGAAAACATTGCAATATCAGAAAAGAACAATGGAAAAGAATAAAAGTGTGGGTAAATACAAAAGACGTTCATTCAGCTCTTGATTTTTCTAAATGAAGTTTGATGGTTGAAACAAAAATATAACATTGTCTCATATAGTTATCAATGTATGCAGAAGAAATAAAGACAATTATAAATTAGAGAGGGTAAAGGGACTTAAAAGAAAATATGGTTTATTTTTTTTACTAAAGTTGTATTTATTTTTTCAGTCACATCAGTGTAATAGTATTACAGCTTTTATAAGAAGTTTATGTTGAAAGAGAAATGACATATTCTCATACAGTAAATTTGTAAAGGAAGAATATGTCGACAGCTTTTCTTTTTGTGACATACCAGGAGTTGCAAAGGATTGAGGCATATACAATTATTGTTTGAAGGAGACATGGTTTCTATGTTTCACTCAAACTGCTATGATGTCAAACAATAGATAATTATTAATTATGTATGTATAATATTGTACAATACCCAGAGTAACTCCACACACACACAAAATCTATGCAAAGAGATACACTAAAAACACTGCGGATAAATCAAAATAGAATTCTAAAAAATGTTCAAGTAATCCATAGAAACTGGAAAAAGAAAACAAATGAAAAATAGAAGAACAGAAAACAAAAGTAAACTGGCAAGTGTAAGCCATAACATATCAATATTAAATGTAAATGATCTAAACACATCAGTAGATACACCAATAGAAAGTTTCACAAATTTCTTTTTTTTTTTTTAAACATTTTTTTTTTCAACGTTTATTTATTTTTCGGACAGAGAGAGACAGAGCATGAACGGGGGAGGGGCAGAAAGAGAGGGAGACACAGAATCGGAAACAGGCTCCAGGCTCTGAGCCATCAGCCCAGAGCCTGACGCGGGGCTCGAACTCCCGGACCGCGAGATCGTGACCTGGCTGAAGTTGGACGCTTAACCGACTGCACCACCCAGGCACCCCACAAATTTCTTTTTAAAATGACTCAATTATGGGGCGCCTGGGTGGCTCAGTCGGTTAAGCATCCGACTTCGGCTCAGGTCATGATCTCGCGGTCCGTGAGTTTGAGCCCCGCGTCGGGCTCTGTGCTGACGGCTCAGAGCCTGGAGCCTGTTTCAGATTCTGTGTCTCCCTCTCTCTTTGCTCTTCCCCTGTTCATGCTCTGTCTCTCTCTGTCTCAAAAATAAATAAACGTTAAAAAAAATTTTTTTAAAAATGACTCAATTATATGCTATTTAAAAGAAACATCAGGTGGTTCAGTTGGTTAAGTGTCTGACTCTTGGTTTTGGCTCGGGTCATCATCTCCTGGTTTGTGAGTTTGAGCTCCACATGGGACTCTATGTTGACCGTGTGGGGCCTGCTTGGGATTCTCTCTCTCTCCCTCTCTCTGTCCCTCCTGTGCTCTCTTTCTCTCTCAAAATAAATAAATAAAAACTTAAAAAAAAACTCACTTCAAATATAATAATATAAATATAAGTAGCTTGAAAGTAAAAGGAGGGGAAAGATAGAACATGCAAATATTAGTCAAAAGAAAGCAGGAGTGGTATAAAATTATCAGATTAAGTAGACTTCAGAAAAAGAAAAACAACCAAGGAGAGAGAGGGAGAAAACAGCAATCTTAAATGCACATACAGAGTTGCAAATAAAAAAAACAGAACTAAAAGAAAAATTAGACAAATCCCCAGTTATAGTTGAAACACTTCAAAACCTCTCTCTTGACAACTGATAGAATATCAACAAGAATATGGAAGAACTTACCACCAAAACCACATGATATAATCCACAAAGTAAAAAGAAAAGAAGAAATAATAAATACCAAAGTAGAAAAAAAATAGAGAAAAATCAATGAAACTAAAAGCTAAGTCTCTGAGGAAACTGAAAATCAATACACCTCTATCCAGACAGATCAAGAAAAAATAAAACACCAATGACCAGTATCAGGAATGAGAGAGATAACAATAGCTACGTATTCTACAGACATTAAAAGATTAATAAAAGAATAACTTAAAAAAAATTTTTAATGCTTATTTATTTTTGAGACAGAGAGAGACAGAGTGCAAGTGGGGAAGGGGCAGAGAGAGAGGGGGAGACACAGAATCTGAAACAGGCTCCAGGCTCCAAGCTGTCAGCACAGAGCCTGACATGGGGCTCGAACCCACGAACCGTGAGATCATGACCTGAGCCGAAGTCAGACACTTAACCGACTGAGCCACCCAGGTGCCCCAATAAAAGAATAACTTTGAACAAGTTTATGCCAATAAATTTGACAACTTAGATAAAATGGAAAAATTCCTATAAAGACAATCTACCGAGGCATGTGGCTGGCTGTTGGTAGAGCATGTGGCTCTTGATCTTGGGGCTGTGAGTTCAAGCCCTGCACTAGGGGTAGAGATTACTCAAAATAAAAATAAAATGGATAAAATAGCAAAGGTTATGTATGCTTTACACCAGTGGAAAATTTTTTTAAATAAAATAAAGACAACCTACCAAAGCTCCCTCAAAAAGAAATAGATAACCTGCATGGCCCTATGACTATTAAAGATGTTGAATCTCTTTTTAAAAAACTTACTTTACATAGAACACTCCAGACCCTGAGGTCCAACATCTATTTCTAATAAAAGTTCTTAAGGGAACTTCTTCAATCTTATAAATTTAATATGTGAAAAAGCTGCAGCTAACATTATATGTAGTAGCAACTGAAAGCTTTCCCTTTACCACTAGAAACAAAAGACCTTTTCTATATAATTCTATATTGGAGGCTCCAGCTAGGGCATTAAGGAAAGAAAAAAAGGCACTGATATTGGAAAGGAAGAGGCAGAATGATCTTTATATACAGATCATATGATCCTCTATAGAAACTCCCCGGGATCTACAAACCAGACACTAGAACTAATAAGTGTTTCAAAATATAAAATCAATATATAAAAACCAAGTGTATTTTGAGTGGCAACATATAACCACAAATTGAAAATCTGAAACTACCATTAACCATATAGCCCTTGTGAAATAAAAACTCAATGAGTAAGTGTGAAGATCTAACTGGCTTTATTAACGGATTCATGAATGCAGCAACATCCCATGTGGTAATTAGAGAGATGCTCCACTGAAGTAAACAAAAGAAAAGTTTTTAAAGGCTGAAAGAACATTTTAAAAAAGGGACTTGACTATCAAGGAATATATTGTTTAGGCAAGGTTGCCCTCTTAAGAGGAGAAGAAGGGGTAAATCAGTAAATTTCCTGGTATTGACCAGGAAATTCCAGTTGACTAGTTGCAGGGTACATTCCTGGTTGGTTGAAATTGTAGTTATTTAGGTATAAATACTATAATAATAATAATAACACATATTTTAGGATATATAATAATATATCTGTTAGGTGGTTGACTTGGCCTAAGTGATGCCACTTCGGGCTTGTGGTTTTCTTTTGTAACACCCCCAAAATATGAAATGCTTACAGGTAGGTTTCACAAGAGATGTGTAAGGACTATGCACTGAAAGTTACAAAATATTGCTGAGAAAAATTAAAGAAGATCTAACTAAATGGAGAGACATACTATATTCATGGACTGGAAACTTCAATATTGCTAAGACATCAGCTCTTTCGAAAGTGATCTACAGATTTATCACAATCTCAACCATAATTCTTTCAGTGTTTTTATGAAGAATTCAACAAGCTGATCCTAACATTCCAATGGACTTGCAAAAGATGTAAAATAGCCACGCAAGTTTGAAAAAGAGCAACATTGGAAGATTTACAC